AAAATATAAAATTCTCTTGTACATATAGAGTAAGTCAAACTGAACGAAGAAACCATCTATTGTTTTGCAAATAACTACGTAGACTTTTGAGTTATTGATTAAAGAAGCTTGGCGAATGATATCACGCACGATCCGCGCGCGTTCGCCCGATTTTCTTCAATTAATAACTCAAAATTGCTACATCTCGCGCGCGACGACGATGACGACGAAAGCGGCGGCGAAGAAGCTGACTTTGAACGGCGATTAGCGCTACATATTCGCGATACAGTCTCGCTCATAAATTCGGCCGGGCAGCGGGACGGAGCGAGTGTCTCAATCAAAAGGAACCGGTATCCTCTCCGGCGCGCTTCCTTTTTCCACGGAAGTTCCCGTCGCGCTCGCGGAGGTCTTCCCTACTACATGTGAGAGCGCTTCACGAGCGGCTCCCGTCGTAAACTCTAAACTCTATAAGCTGTACGCACGCGGCATGGGTGGGACTGCCGCAGCACGGCCGCTTGTCTCCTTCTCGGCCTCGTCGAAGTAAATTATGGAAAAGCCGTGAAAGCCACGCGGAGAGAAGCTCCGCGAAGATCGACGGGGCATAAACGCCCGTAGCGTAGCGCCGATCCTTTAACCTTTGTATTTGCAGGCGGGCGCGCTCGTTCTATCAACGTTTATGGAGTAAATCCGATAAATTCCCACGGATAAAGACGAGCGAGAGGGGAGAGCGAGGGGAGAGATGGGAGGAGGAGGATGAAACTATGGTACGACGGCGCAGGCAATATCCTTTGCGCTGTTTCCGGCGCGAGCCAGCACACAGCCGGACGACAGCAAGTACGCTCTTTGAACGCGTGTCCTCTCCCCGAGTAATTGTTCTAATGCTCAATTCCGATTTACCCGGGCAAGTTTTGGACTCGAATCAGGCATTTAGGGAATCCCGCGCGGTGTTGGAATTAATACCGCAGTGTTCGAATTAATACCGCGAATATGAATCTCAACAGTTCTCCTCTCTATACCGGCCTGAATAATTCGGCCAACTGCGAATTACCGGGATTTTGTGATCCGTTGCAACAAGTGCGCGCACGGATTTCAGCATGCGAGATAGATTTTCCACGTGTCCGAGGGGGAAAAATGAGCGTACGCAGGTGTGCGTGCGTTACTCGCTGAAAGAATAATTCAGCGTCAAATGCATAAATCGTGCCCGGCTGACGCGGTTTTTATTACTCCAAAGGCCGTCAGCGGTGGACGCGGTAATGAGTTACGCAAAAATCGACTCTCTCTCTCTCTCCCTCTCTACCTCTTTCTTGAAAATCACTGCCGTTCGCGCGCGGAAACGCTCTAGGCATGTGAAACGTGAGACTTTTCGTGCGCCGTTCCCTCGCGGGCAATTCACCGAATTAATTAGGTAACGTTCCATGCGTGATTCTTGATCCCGTCGTACGGTAATTCAGCAGCAGTCCCGCGTGCATGTAACGGGGCTTTTTATTCGACACTGTGAGCTGTGTCGTATTGTGCCTCGATAGAGATCCGGGGTGGCGAAAAAAGCTAGCCCCGTTTCCCGATGTCGACGGAAACTTAAATCGTAAAAGTTTAATGGGGTTACGGCCTGCGCGGGGCGGCCTTTCGCGCTCGTCCGTCTGTACGCTCGGTACGTGCATCGAAATGGATAATTCGTCCCCGTGATATAACACACACACACACACACACACATACACGCCGTCCTGATTTTGCTTCATTCATTCCGGCGCCGGTAATCGCCGGCGATTTTACGACGAGCGACGCGTAATCCGCGTGATAAGGCGCGATTGAGGCTTCTCAAGACGCTCGCCTCCCGAGATCTCCTCTCTGTCAAGGTCTCGTAAAGCAGTGTCTTCCTTGCGACGCGAGGAAAACAGACACCGTCACATGACATTTTCAGCAACGATAAAAATTCACTTGTGACCTTAAATTTGCAATACTTTGAATCTCGGCGTCTCGCGACGAGGAAGACTGGAATTATTTAACCTACTCTCTCCCTGCGACAGGCGAAAAATTTACCGCGAAAAGTTTCGAGCTGGCAAAAAAGCCCGTCGGGATGGAAGAAGAACAGTAGAGAAGGATAAAAAAGGAATGAAGGTTTTCGTCCGTTAAGAGCGGGCCGGAAGTTATCCGAAAGTCAGCCAGCCGCGAATTCTTCGTTACAACGCCTCTAATGAACCTCGAAATGTCTCACCGAGGCCGATTACGGAGACCGCCCTCGCAGCGAGGATTAATTTCAATGCGCAGAAACGAAGGAGGTGAGGAGCGTAGAGTGTAGAACGGGCGCGGACGGAAATGGAGCCTGCCGTTTCATCGACGGTAGCTTTCGAGTCTGATATTCGCCCAGTGGAACTGGAAATTATGATGCCCGTAAATAGCCAATTATAGCCGTTCCCCGAGCTCGGGCGGAAATTCCGGTTAATCGAGGCGAACTTTTCGCTCGACGTGGAGCAGAAGCGCACGCACCTTTCAGCTGCCGAATGATATTGTTAACAATTCGGCGAGTCCTCGCGTCCGTCCGAAATTTTCGCGACGTTACGTCGTATTCGAGAACGAATAACGTCGAAACTCCGACACGAAATATTGAAATCAAACTGCAATATGATTAACGAGAAAAGAATTTTGTTGTTGAAACGAAAATTTGGTACACAGGACCATAATTTGGTCGAAATCGGATCAGTCAAATGTTTGGCAATTGCAAACAAGAAATTTCATTGCTGCTATGTGTTTTGCTTTTTGAATAATACATGCACCTGACGAAAGTAAACACATGGTAATGTCGAATTGTATGTAACCAAATTGTATGTAACGAAATATTTTAGTTTTAAATAGTAAAATTTTTTTTCAGTGAATGCGCTTCTTATCTCGCGAGATGACTAAGATGATAATTTGCAACTACCTGAATGTATACGCGCGGAGAAAGAAGTCTGGTTGAATTATCATGATAATAAACGATCCAAATACTTTTTTGTTGAAAAAACAGAAATTTGGTTCCTTGAACTAAATTCGGTTTTCGTAAGATCCGTTTCTTTCAACCGAAACGCATTTGGTTCGTTCATTGTCACATTAATTTTTCTTTCATGTAATTTCTTCGCGGTTAAACTCGATGGAATCTTGATTCTTTCATTTTCGCTTATGTCTCCTGCTGTAATTACGTCTTGTAATTTGAATTATTGAATTAATGAATTGAATGTAACATTTTTAGAATAGAATAGTGTGAGACTTCTCTCTGGTCAAATGTTTGAGAGTTATTACAAAACCCTGTAACACGAAACAAAGATAACACGTTTTATTACGGATTAGAAGATTCTCCAGGTTCGAATCCTAGAAGGATCGTAGATTTTTTCTATCTCTTTTTACGTTCTCAAGATGAGAAATATTTTGCTCCATTTGTCTTTATGTCGCACGATTACGTAACTAACATTTACGCAACATGCACACACAGCTGTGCAAGTCATTAAATCATCCGCGAGCGGAAAAATAATTTGGCGTATTCTTCGATCTCGATATCGTTATTTCATACATGAGAATCATATAATCGAATGAGAGAAAAAAATTTACACTTGCTCGGTTACGTATAATACGGATTATTTTATTTGCAAAGAATAACGGAAAAATAAAATGCAAAAAGAAAAAAGAAACTTGGCCCATGAGGGGATCGAACCCGCGACCTTCGCGTTATTAGCACGACGCTCTAACCAACTGAGCTAATGGGCCGTTCTTACGATCTACTCACATATTGTCCAACACAAGTTTAACGATAACTGATATTACTGAGTTGTGTAATTCACATGTAATTGGTGAAAGCTATTTCATATATGCTTGCGACAACTTCACTCGACGCTTCACGTCTCTTCCCTATTTAAGAAATAAATCGCGTCGTTAATATTTTTTTTACACTTATTCGGTTACGTATAATACGGATTATTTTATCTGCAAAGAACAACGGCAACATAAAATACAAAAAGAAAAAAGAAACTTGGCCCATGAGGGGATCGAACCCGCGACCTTCGCGTTATTAGCACGACGCTCTAACCAACTGAGCTAATGGGCCGTTCTTACGATCTACTCACATATTGTCCAACACAAGTTTAACGATAACTGATATTACTGAGTTGTGTAATTCACATGTAATTGGTGAAAGCTATTTCATATATGCTTGCGACAACTTCACTCGACGCTTCACGTCTCTTCCCTATTTAAGAAATAAATCGCGTCGTTAATATTTTTTTTACACTTATTCGGTTACGTATAATACGGATTATTTTATCTGCAAAGAACAACGGCAACATAAAATACAAAAAGAAAAAAGAAACTTGGCCCATGAGGGGATCGAACCCGCGACCTTCGCGTTATTAGCACGACGCTCTAACCAACTGAGCTAATGGGCCGTTCTTATGATGTACTCACATATTGTCCAGCACAAGTTTAACGATAACTAATATTACTGAGCTGTGTAGTTCACATGTAATTGGTGAAAGCTATTTAATATATGCTTGCGACAACCTCATCCGACGCTTCACGTCTCTTCCCCATTTAAGAAATAAATCGCGTCGCTAATATTTTTTTTACACTTATTCGGTTACGTACAATACGGATTATTTTATCTGCAAAGAACAACGGCAACATAAAATACAAAAAGAAAAAAGAAACTTGGCCCATGAGGGTATCGAACCCTCGACCTTCGCGTTATTAGCACGACGCTCTAACCAACTGATCTAATAGGCCGTTCTTGCCGTCCCTTCATATATTACCGAACACTAATTTCGTGTGTTAAAATTAACGATAACTATGTAATTCACGTGTAAAATATTAGTGTAAGCTATCTAATATGTGTTTATGACAGCCTCGCTTTAAATCTCTCTCTCTCTCACACTCCAGAAATACATAAAAATCGTATCGTTAATATTTTTTTTTACATTTACTCATAATTACGCAATACGGATTATTTTATCTGCAAAAAAATGGCATATGCAAAATAAAATATCTGTTGCAAAAAAATTTGACCCATGAGGGGATCGAACCCGCGACTTTCGCGTTATTTTAGTACGACGCTCTAACTAACTGAGCTAATGGGCCTTTCTTGCTGTCCTTTCAAATATTACCAAACTCTAATTTCTCGTGTTAAAATGAACGATAAGTACGTAGTTCAGTGTAAGATATTGATGAAAACTATTTAATATGTGTTCACGACAACTTCGCTTCATGTCTCTCTCTCGCTCTCTCTCTTTCTCTTATACTAAAAAAATATATAAAAATCGCTTCGCTAATATTTTTTATATTTACTTATATTGTGTAATACAAATTATTTTATGTATAAAAAATAACGTACATTTTATATATAAAAAATAACGTAAAAAATAAGATATCCATTGCAAAAAAAAAACTTGGCCCATGAGGGGATCGAACCCGCGACCTTCGCGTTATTAGCACGACGCTCTAACCAACTGAGCTAATAGGCCATTGCTGAACAGACTCGAGCAGATCTATCAGGTCGAACGTGATTTTGTACACTCGTCAATCTCAAGATGTTCTTTCGTTCCAGACTTGACGAAATCGATTTTGTTTGTACTTAATAGCGTATTTCCGACAACCGTACGCAAAGCTACAAATGACAGAGGTGGCAGGACAGGTAAGCTCGAACGAGGCAAGAATCGCCTCGGTCGTAGATCAGAGTTTTATGTTCGATCTCCAGCCCTTGGCCCTTGGTTCGTGACGCGCGGACCCCGAGGGCGGTCGTGCCACGGCCGAAAATCATACATTCGGCCGAGAGGCACCGGCACACCGTGGCGGGCACACCGTCGCCATAAATCTTCGGCTTTATGTTACGATCCTGAAAATGCGCGGCGCAAAGCGTTGGCGACACGCCAGCAACGACCGGACGGACGAACGAACGACCGAACGAACGAACGAACGAGCGAGCCGCGTTTTCGCGAATACGCCTCGACCTCGCTGACACGCGAAATAACGCTTCCGCCATTCGCGCCGATTAATTTAACGAGAATTTTTCGACCGACACCTCAAGAGGACAAATAGTGGCCATTGTGTGCCACCGCCGTCGACATCGAGTTCTACCGAGCGCGTGGGAAAGCGACGAGGAACGATCGAAGTCACATTTATGATATGAAACTGTCGATAGAGAGAGAGAGAGAGAGAGAGAGAGTGTGTGTGTGTGTGTGTGTGTGTGTGTGTGTGAGAGAGAGAGAGAGAAAGAGAGAGCAAGAGTGATATCATCGCTCGCGAGAGTTACTCGTAGGTTGGTGGTCTCGATAGCGAGAGAAGTCCTACCCGCATAGAAATTTTCCAAGATTTTCCGAGATACATAGATTCCGATTAGAATGCTCAAATTTGTCCCAGAATTGGTTGTCCCACATTGCAGTACCAAGTGGAAAATATATTTTTGTTCCAAACATGGCTTCTCTGTCTTTTTTCCAGTCGATATATTTTTTATGATATCAAATATGGAATCTCCCATTTTTGCATCGACTATCACGCATTCAATAAAACAAAAAATAAACAAAAATAAAATATTTTTGAAATATTCTGGGTATGTTTACTGAATGATAAAATTATTTGGAAAATCGACACATGTCTCGTTCAGTTTTAGTGCAAAATAAAAAAGGATATTGAGGAAAAATAATTCGAAGTATCAGAAAAGAGATATTGGGAGAACTTTTCTACTTGGAATCATTTTTTAAAAATTACATTTCTAACCAGAACTCATAATTACTTAGGAGGATTGGCCTGGATCCCAATTAGATCCCAAGAAATATTCTATGCGGGTATTTCAAAGGGCTGCTATCAATGTATCCATTTGCGTCGGATGTTCCTTAATGATCGTTAAGGATCAATAAATATTTTTCAGTGGCGCGACAGCCGTCCGGCGGAATCGCGAGGATTTCTCTCTCTCTCTCTCTCTCTCTCTCTCTCTCTCTCTCTCTCTCTCTCTCTCTTTGTGCGCGATCGCAATATAAAACATTTTCTAGTTTATATGCTAATGTCAAGGAGCACTAAGTGCCCATCGAGTGCGCGCGAGTAAGCACCGCTCTTCGCGTTTCTTTTCGGTTGTTCCGCGTTTCAACGGCGCATATGGGACAGCGAGAGAGAAAGAAGGAGAGAGAGAGCGTCGGCGAGCGGAAGGACTCCCCCTCGGGACGAGTCGGGCTCGTTAGAGAGTCAACAGACGCGAGTGACGGCCAGAGAATACCGAAGATAAACGTTCGTCGCACGACGAGAGACGCAAGGAGTCGCCGATGAATATTCTTAATTTACTGCGAGTACCCGACTGTGGGACTCGCGGGAGTCGCGACCCGAGCGGTAGCCGAGCTCGAACGTGCTCGTTACGCACCGCTGAGTAATCGCGAATAATCGTAAACGCTACCGGATGAGACGGTCATTCCTGCCGATGACCAAGTCATCGCGACGCGATCTCACGGCGATCCGTTAACTAACTTGTGCGCGTAACCACAGCGTTCGTTAGCGCGCGGCTCAACCGAAGACACGTTAATACCTTCAGTACTCGGCGCGTCGTATAATTCCGCGGGAAGGGAGTTATTAGGTATTTCGCCCCGTGACGTAAGAAATTACACCTCATCAGCAGAGAGACGAAAGTGTTTCCGCCGTTATAACGCGCGCTATCGTCGCGTTACCGGTTATTATATAAGTAACAAGACTATCCGCTTATATAACAAGTTCAGACTTTCATCTACTTATAACAACTGTAGGCTTAAGCAACTTGGAGGTGATATTATAGTCGGCGACGTATCTCCGCGCGGGAATGAACGCGGCTGCCGTTGTCTGCGCGAAATACGAAATTAATGTGCCGCATGCGCGCTATTGAATACCGGAGCAAATTGCTAATTGTCTGCGTATTGCCACTCGAAATGTATCAAGCGACGACTCGCGAGCACTCAGCGGGAAGCGGCTTGTTTCCTTCTTTTCTGTTAGCCGCGTATAATTGGCCGCGGTTTTTATGCAAGAACGATCGCATGGAGCACGTCTCGCAAGAAATGAGAATGAAAATTTGATACATGATTGAAAAAGTATAGAGAGCACTGAGAGTTCTCGCAATCGTTCAAGTAGTCAAGCATGGTCAACTCTCTTCTCTTCAAGGGTTTTCGTTAACAAGCTTGATCCTTGAAAAACGAGTGAAAAATGACGCAACTAGTAGAAAGTAAAAACTGTTTTTTAATTAACTTTAGGCATCCCCATGAGGCTTTTTTTAATGTGGAAATATGTATAATCCCGCAACTATTTATCAATAACAAAATATATAACAAAAAGCCAAAACTCATAATTTCTTGTGGATTGGATCATTCTCGCATGAATACGACCGATCATTCTTACAGATTATTATTTTTGCGCACTGCTGCTTTAAGACATCGTCGACATTTTCGGGTTTCGGTCTGCTCGATTCGTGGTACTCTTTCTCCGTCCTCGTAGAGCGCAGGGTGGCGGCGGTCGGACCGGCGGAGGTTCGATTAAATCAGGAATCGAGTCGAAATCGAGGCGAGACGAATCGAGGAGAGACGGCACGTAATTGGCCTTCCTTGCTCTTACGCCGTCGATCTCGGTTCCCGGCGTTTCTACGCGGCCCGCCGAGTCGTTAATCTTTCCGGGGATATACTTGATCATTGCACGCCTCACTACGTCTTCGTTTACGTCGAAAGGGATCGAGTGCCGACAATTTCCCGTTGCCACCGCGCCACTTGTGCATCCGTCGCGGCGTGCCGCGCATCGCGCGTTGCGAAAGGAGCCGGCTAATTGGACTTCGTTTTATTATTTATCGGCGAAAAATGCGAGGAGGAAGCGAGAGAAAGAGAGGATTCAATACCTTCGCTCTATTAGGTCCCTGGAGAGCGCGTACTTGCAGGAAATTACCGAGCGAGAGTTACACACGCGAGCAGAATGCCGGTGCTTGCTGCTTCTACTTTCTCGAGTCGTCGAGAACTTGCAAATTCACATTACACATCGACGATAACAATCGATAAACATCGCAACAGCTGGCAAAAAGGGCTTCAAGAAAGACTGGTAATCATCGTGCAATCAAGCGTCTGGCTTTCTATCGCAATCAGCCGTGCTCATTGAGTTAAGATGAAAGGCGATGATTAACTCATCGCAATCACACATCAACATCCTGACTAGAAATTTATTCTATAATTCTGACTAGATAGATCAGTTATCTAGTTTGTATAAAGTAATGTCATCGGGGGAGAGAGTGCCCTAATTATCTTAAGAAAGTTTTGATTGCCACACTGCGTAATTTATCAGAGAGCCCTGTAATATCACCTACAAATCAGAGAACCGATTGGGACCAACTCAATCAGGATGATGGGACGAATTTCTGGCCAGGAGTGTCGTCTCCACATTAGCATTCCGAATTGAAGCTTGTCGTCGAAAATTATTGGTCTATCATCGATCATCCCGGCAAAATTGACGCTAATGGATTATCGAGAATTATTTAGGAGCAACCTCAGATGCAAGATTTCGATAATCTCGCTGCTAATAATTCGCACATCCTAATGACTCCCGAGCGCGTTTCTAGTCGAGCTGCACCCGAGGTATTCCAGCTACGTGTGACTCGTATTCTTACCACGATGCGAGATGCAAACACACAGCACCGTCAGCGGGGTACTTTAATTAGCGGATCTCGCGAACTCTCCAGACGGGATCTCGAGAACTTCTTCGACCAGATACTCCCGACCGCGAGGATAACGCGATTAGACTATGCGCTCACACGCGACGACCACGAAGACTCCGATGGCTCTTCAGATCAGAGCGTGACTGTGGTCTCTTCGTCGCGAAGAATCGCAAAAATACACGTGACGACGCGAAATTTCGGTGCTATCAATTCTGACGACTGTCAAAATTGCCCACATTGGATACACACGGCGACTTGACAAAACCAGAGGCGTCGGATATCGCCGGATGTATCTCGCCCAGCGTAGGCGACAAGCTCACCTGGACGGTCGGAATGCAGGGCTTTCCGTTTTCGTCGCGTGATTTTTCCACTGATGCCCCGATAAATCAGCGTCGTGTCGCAACGCACCCCAGGTTACACACGATCGATAAGCGTAACG